ACAGTGTGTCATGTGTCTCACACACTCACAACAGTGTGTCATGTGTCTCACACACTCACACAGTGTGTCATGTGTCTCACACACTCACAACAGTGTGTCATGTGTCTCACACACTCACAACAGTGTGTCATGTGTCTCACACACTCACAACAGTGTCATGTTGTCGTGTCTCACACACTCACAACAGTGTGTCATGTGTCTCTCACACTCACAACAGTGTGTCATGTGTCTCACACACTCACAACAGTGTGTCATGTGTCTCACACACTCACAACAGTGTGTCATGTGTCTCACACACTCACAACACATGTGTGTCATGTGTCTCACACACTCACAACAGTGTGTCATGTGTCTCACACACTCACAACAGTGTGTCATGTGTCTCACACACTCACAACAGTGTGTCATGTGTCTCTCACACACTCACAACAGTGTGTCATGTGTCTCTCACACTCACAACAGTGTGTCATGTGTCTCACAACAGTGTGTCACACACACTCACAACAGTGTGTCATGTGTCTCACACACTCACAACAGTGTGTCATGTGTCTCACACACTCACACTCACAACACTCACAACATGTGTGTCATGTGTCTCACACACTCACAACAGTGTGTCATGTGTCTCACACACTCACAACAGTGTGTCATGTGTCTCACACTCACAACAGTGTGTCATGTCTCTCACAACAGTGTCATGTGTCTCTCACAACAGTGTGTCATGTGTCTCTCACACTCACTCAGTGTTCTCACACAGTGTGTCATGTGTCTCACACACTCACAACAGTGTGTCATGTGTCTCACACACTCACAACAGTGTGTCATGTGTCTCACACACTCACAACAGTGTGTCATGTGTCTCTCACACTCTCTCACAACAGTGTGGTCTGGTGTCTCTCATGTGTCTGTGTCTCTCACACTCACACAGTGTGTCATGTGTCTCACACACTCACAACAGTGTGTCATGTGTCTCACACACTCACAACAGTGTGTCATGTGTCTCACACTCACAACAGTGTGTCATGTGTCTCACACACTCACAACAGTGTGTCATGTGTCTCACACTCACAACAGTGTGTCGTGTCTCTCACAACAGTGTGTCATGTGTCTCTCACAACAGTGTGTCATGTGTCTCTCACACTCTCAACAGTGTGTCATGTGTCTCTCACACTCACAACAGTGTGTCATGTGTCTCATACTCTCAACAGTGTGTCATGTGTCTCACACACTCACAACAGTGTGTCATGTGTCTCTCACACTCTCAACAGTGTGTCATGTGTCTTTCACACTCACAACAGTGTGTCATGTGTCTCACACACTCACAACAGTGTGTCATGTGTCTCACACACTCACAACAGTGTGTCATGTGTCTCACACACTCACAACAGTGTGTCATGTGTCTCACACACTCACAACAGTGTGTCATGTGTCTCTCACACTCACAACAGTGTGTCATGTGTCTCTCACACTCACAACAGTGTGTCATGTGTCCTCTCACAACAGTGTGTCATGTGTCTCTCACACTCACAACAGTGTGTCATGTGTCTCACACACTCACAACAGTGTGGCATGTGTCTTTCACACTCACAACAGTGTGTCATGTGTCTCACACACTCACAACAGTGTGTCATGTGTCTCACACACTCACAACAGTGTGTCATGTGTCTCACACACTCACAACAGTGTGTCATGTGTCTCTCACACTCACAACAGTGTGTCATGTGTCTCACACACAACAGTGTGTCATGTGTCTCACACACTCACAACAGTGTGTCATGTGTCTCACACACTCACAACAGTGTGTCATGTGTCTCACACACTCACAACAGTGTGTCATGTGTCTCACACACTCACAACAGTGTGTCATGTGTCTCACACACTCACAACAGTGTGTCATGTGTCTCACACACTCACAACAGTGTGTCATGTGTCTCACACACTCACAACAGTGTGTCATGTGTCTCACACACTCACAACAGTGTGTCATGTGTCTCACACACTCACAACAGTGTGTCATGTGTCTCACACACTCACAACAGTGTGTCATGTGTCTCTCACACTCACACACAGTGTGTCATGTGTCTCTCACACTCATGTGTCTCTCACAACAGTGTGTCATGTGTCTCTCACACTCACACGTGTGTCATGTGTCTCACACACTCGTGTGTCATGTGTCTCTCACACTCACAACAGTGTGTCATGTGTCTCACACACTCACAACAGTGTTCATGTGTCTCACACACTCACAACAGTGTGTCATGTGTCTCTCACAACAGTGTGTCATGTGTCTCTCACACTCACAACAGTGTGTCATGTGTCTCACACACTCACAACAGTGTGTCATGTGTCTCACACACTCACAACAGTGTGTCATGTGTCTCACACACTCACAACAGTGTGTCATGTGTCTCACACACTCACAACAGTGTGTCATGTGTCTCACACACTCACAACAGTGTGTCATGTGTCTCTCACACTCACAACAGTGTGTCATGTGTCTCACACTCACAACAGTGTGTCATGTGTCTCTCACACTCACACAGTGTGTCATGTGTCTCACACACTCACAACAGTGTGTCATGTGTCTCACACACTCACAACAGTGTGTCATGTGTCTCACACACTCACAACAGTGTGTCATGTGTCTCACACACTCACACAGTGTGTCATGTGTCTCACACACTCACAACAGTGTGTCATGTGTCTCTCACACTCACAACAGTGTGTCATGTGTCTCTCACACTCACAACAGTGTGTCATGTGTCTCACACACTCACAACAGTGTGTCATGTGTCTCACACACTCACAACAGTGTGTCATGTGTCTCTCACACTCACAACAGTGTGTCATGTGTCTCACACACTCACAACAGTGTGTCATGTGTCTCACACACTCACAACAGTGTGTCATGTGTCTCTCACACAACAGTGTGTCATGTGTCTCTCACACTCTCAACAGTGTGTCATGTGTCTCTCACACTCACAACAGTGTGTCATGTGTCTCTCACAACAGTGTGTCATGTGTCTCTCACACTCACAAGTGTGTCATGTGTCTCTCACACTCACAATAGTGTGTCATGTGTCTCTCACAACAGTGTGTCATGTGTCTCTCACACAACAGTGTGTCATGTGTCTCTCACACTCTCAACAGTGTGATGTGTCTCTCATACTCACAACAGTGTGTCATGTGTCTCTCACAACAGTGTGTCATGTGTCTCTCACACTCTCAACAGTGTGTCATGTGTCTTTCACACTCACAACAGTGTGTCATGTGTCTCTCACACTCACAACAGTGTGTCATGTGTCTCACACTCACAACAGTGTGTCATGTGTCTCTCACACTCACAACAGTGTGTCATGTGTCTCTCACACTCACAACAGTGTGTCATGTGTCTCTCACACATGTGTCTCACACTCCCAACAGTGTGTCATGTGTCTCACACACTCACAACAGTGTGTCATGTGTCTCACACACTCACAACAGTGTGTCATGTGTCTCACACACTCACAACAGTGTGTCATGTGTCTCACACACTCACAACAGTGTGTCATGTGTCTCACACACTCACAACAGTGTGTCATGTGTCTCACACACTCACAACAGTGTGTCATGTGTCTCACACACTCACAACAGTGTGTCATGTGTCTCACACACTCACAACAGTGTGTCATGTGTCTCACACACTCACAACAGTGTGTCATGTGTCTCTCACACTCACAACAGTGTGTCATGTGTCTCTCGCACTCACAACAGTGTGTCATGTGTCTCACACACTCACAACAGTGTGTCATGTGTCTCACACACTCACAACAGTGTGTCATGTGTCTCACACACTCACAACAGTGTGTCATGTGTCTCACACACTCACATGTGTCTCAGTGTGTCATGTGTCTCACACACTCACAACAGTGTGTCATGTGTCTCACACACTCACAACAGTGTATCATGTGTCTCACACACTCACAACAGTGTGTCATGTGTCTCACACACTCACAACAGTGTGTCATGTGTCTCTCACACTCACAACAGTGTGTCATGTGTCTCTCACACTCACAACAGTGTGTCATGTGTCTCACACACTCACAACAGTGTGTCATGTGTCTCTCACACTCACAACAGTGTGTCATGTGTCTCTCACACTCACAACAGTGTGTCATGTGTCTCACACACTCACAACAGTGTGTCATGTGTCTCACACACTCACAACAGTGTGTCATGTGTCTCACACACTCACAGCAGTGTGTCATAGTGTCTCACACACTCACAACAGTGTGTCATGTGTCTCTCACACTCACAACAGTGTGTCATGTGTCTCACACACTCACAACAGTGCCATGTGTCATGTGTCTCTCACACACTCACAACAGTGTGTCATGTGTCTCACACTCACAACAGTGGTATGTGTCTCACACACTCACAACAGTGTCATGTGTCTCTCACACTCACAACAGTGTGCCATGTGTCTCACACACTCACAACAGTGTGTCATGTGTCTCACACACTCACAACAGTGTGTCATGTGTCTCACACACTCACAACAGTGTCATGTGTCTCACACACTCACAACAGTGTGTCATGTGTCTCACACACTCACAACAGTGTGTCATGTGTCTCACACAACAGTGTCACACATCTCCAACACTTTTAATAAACAAACAATTTACCACAGTGAAATAATTTGTCTATAAAAACGATTGACAATGTGAATAAAATGTCTGACAACAGTTTCGGAATTTGAAGGTTGCCAAAAAGTAGTTTCAGTGGTTGCTATGACGTGATAATTTAATAATAATAAAACATGCAAGCGCCGGAACGATTTCTGAATTAATAGATAACCTGAAAAAAGTAATTGTCATTTCCCTTCACTGTTGAGGGAGGAATACACTACAGTGATGTCAGTGCCAGCGATGGTGGTGTCAGTGCCAGCGATGGTGGTGTCAGTGCCAGCGATGGTGGTGTCAGTGCCAGCGATGGTGGTGTCAGTGCCAGCGATGGTGGTGTCAGTGCCAGCGATGGTGGGTGTCAGTGCCAGCGATGGTGGTGTCAGTGCCAGCGATGGTGGTGTCAGTGCCAGCGATGGTGTCAGTGCCAGCGATGGTGGTGTCAGTGCCAGCGATGGTGTCAGTGCCAGCGATGGTGGTGTCAGTGCCAGCGATGGTGGTGTCAGTGCCAGCGATGGTGGTGTCAGTGCCAGCGATGGTGGTGTCAGTGCCAGCGATGGTGGTGTCAGTGCCAGCGATGGTGGTGTCAGTGCCAGCGATGGTGGTGTCAGTGCCAGCGATGGTGGTGTCAGTGCCAGCGATGGTGGTGTCAGTGCCAGCGATGGTGGTGTCAGTGCCAGCGATGGTGGTGTCAGTGCCAGCGATGGTGGTGTCAGTGCCAGCGATGGTGTCAGTGCCAGCGATGGTGGTGTCAGTGCCAGCGATGGTGTCAGTGCCAGCGATGGTGGTGTCAGTGCCAGCGATGGTGGTGTCAGTGCCAGCGATGGTGGTGTCAGTGCCAGCGATGGTGTCAGTGCCAGCGATGGTGGAGGTGCCAGTGCCAGCGATGGTGGACGTGCCAGTGCCAGCGATGGTGGAGGTGCCAGTGCCAGCGATGGTGGAGGTGCCAGTGCCAGCGATGGTGTCAGTGCCAGCGATGGTAGAGGTGCCAGTGCCAGCGATGGTGGAGGTGCCAGTGCCAGCGATGGTGGAGGTGCCAGTGCCAGCGATGGTGGAGGTGCCAGTGCCAGCGATGGTGGAGGTGTCAGTGCCAGCGATGGTGGAGGTGCCAGTGCCAGCGATGGTGGAGGTGCCAGTGCCAGCGATGGTGGAGGTGCCAGTGCCAGCGATGGTGGAGGTGCCAGTGCCAGCGATGGTGGAGGTGCCAGTGCCAGCGATGGTGGAGGTGCCAGTGCCAGCGATGGTGGTGGTGCCAGTGCCAGCGATGGTGGAGGTGCCAGTGCCAGCGATGGTGGAGGTATCAAAGTGCTGCTGCAACTCCGTTGTCGATGATTTGATGAGAAAACAAAACCATCCCATATGGCCGTTCCGTGTATACGAAGACAACACCAGTCCTGCAGGGTCATGTCAGTCCTAGTATCTTGCACGTCGTTATCATGTCTGCCCTTTTCTCTCTTTCGTCCAGTGTTGCAAGCTCTAGTTCCCTCAGTCTTGTTTCATAGCTCAGTGCCCTTAGCTCAGGAACGAGCCTTGTTATATATTTTCGGACTTTTTCTAGTTTGGGTTTGTGTTTCTTAATGTAGAAGTTCCATGCCGGGCCAGCATACTCAATAACAGATCTCACAAAAGATGTGTCCAGCGCTCGGAAGGGATCTGTCCAAGTTGCTGAAGGATAACCAGACATTTGCCAGTGTGTCATATGTTGCCCTCGTTATCCTGCTGACGTGTGTCTCTGGTGGTAAATCTCCAGTTATGTCCACTCCTAAGTCTTTCTATTTTTCAGAAGTTGGAAGTTGCTTTCCCTTCATCCTGTGCTGTATTTGAAGTCTTAATTCTCTAACTCCTATCCCCATAACCAACCATTTTAACACCCGGCGGTTAGAAAGGCGGGGTCCAAGGGCTAACAGCTCGATCCTGCAGGCACACATAGTAAATGTACACATACCAACCAGTAAATAGGTACCTGGGAGTTTGAATGCTGCCACGGGCTGTTTCCTGGGGATGTGTGTAGGTGTTAAAGAGAAATATATGTAGCAGACATAATTGAGGAAAAAATATATCGGTTATAAAGCCGGGGTCGAAGAGCTAATAGCTCGATTCTGCAGTCACTCAGCCGCGAGCCTCGCGGCTAAGTGGATAGCGCTTGGGGGTCGTTGTCCTAATGGCCCGTGTTCGATTCCCGGCGGAGGCGGAAACAAATAGGCAGAGTTTCTTTCACCCTGATGCACCTGCTCATCTAGCAGTAAATAGGTATTTGGGAGTTAGACAGCTACTACGGGTTGCTTCCTGGGGATGTGCGTGTGTGTGTGTTAGAGAGAAATATACGTACTATGTATAATAGAAGAAAAATAGATTGGTTAGAAAGGCGGGTTCCAAGAGCTAATAGCTCAACTCTGCAGACACAAATAGTATATACACACAGTCAAAATCAGAAAGACTAGTAAGATGCAGAAATTAGATAACAATTAGGAAAGAATTGGTTATCAACTGTAAATTTGTACAAAACACTACAGATAGAAGTGAGTCCATAATCATTTTTGGATATTTAGAAAAGGAAATATCCCCTAGGGTGGACAGAGCAGCATAAGACATGAAAATCATTGAGAAAATAGTAGGTTTAAGAGAAGGCCTAAATTCAAAGGAACAAGTCAGTGACTTTAGGAGGATAGGAAAATATAAGAAAGACAAGAACCGCCCCTTAAGGGTGACGTTTAATGTTGTGAAACACATGACGGAATTGCTGAGAAATGCCAGGAAAGAGCAGAGTGATGAGGATGGCAAACTTTGGCCAATAAGGCAAAACATATCTCTAAGGAAGACAGAAAAACTGAAAATAAACCTCGATGAAGGGAAACGTCTAAATGGGAATACAAATGAAGAAGAAATAATTATGTTTTCTACAAAGTGTTAGGGACTGGAAAGCCAGTGAATTGGTACATGATAACAAAGCAACAAAATTGTTAGAGGAAGGGGGGAGTAAAGGACAAAGGGAAGGGAACGTGTCCCTGAAAATTGTATATACCAGTATAGATGGAGTGAGAAAAAATATTGGAGCTAAAAGATATAATTCAGCTTAAGGTCCCAGATATTAGGACCTTAGACAATTTGCAATAGACCTTCAGACAATTCATGAAAAGGGTTAAATCTTTGTTCAAAATTCTTACATCTCTCCAGAATATCATCAATCTTTCCGTTGTGACACATCCAGGCTGTTTGTTCAGGAACAGTCCGTATCTCAGCGTTGTTATATACATTACTTAACGGACACTCAAGAACATAATGGGTGAGGGTGTGAGACCTTAACATACCCTCATAGTTTACACTTGGTTTCATTATCATTAACACCTATCCCATTTTCCCAGTAATATTTGTACCCAAACCTGAGCCACATGTGTACAGTCACTTCAAGCAGTTTTCCTTTTACCATAAGTGAACTGTTGGTGTTTTGACTCACAATGTTGCATGGTTTGACTTCCCTCATACATTTTACCTCTCCTCGCCACTTCTGCCTGTGTCTGAACATTTCTTATTTTGGTTCTTATTTGTCTCATTGTTAAAACACATTCAGTGTCAACTTGTGGTTTTGATACACACACATAAGGTGCGTTTTGGCCAAGGTGCGTTTGGCCAAGTCATCCGCCACCTCATTGAGCACTATTCCAACATGAGGTGGAATCCACATGAATTTCACTTTGTGACCTTTCAGGTGGGAGGCCTACCAAGCAATAACTGAGGACATTTGGACAGGCAGATTTGTCAACCTCATTCTGGAGACATTCATGTATCAACACGTGAAGCAGGCCACAAGAATGAGGGAAGGGGATGCACCGTCAATACTGGAATATTCACCAGGAAGGAAGAGGAGATATTTGACGTCCAATACCTTCCTCCCTTGGGTAAGAGTGATCATGTCCTGTTGGAAATTAAATATGCTTTGCGATATAATCTATAAGAGAATGGGGACATTGAAACAGTTGATAAACTTGATTTCAAGAGAGGACATTATGGGGGACTTCGCAAATTCTTTATTGAATTTACTTGGACAGACTTGTTGCTAGGCAAGGAAGTAAATGCCAAATTTTGTGAAATATACGATGAAGGCACACAAACATTCATACCAAAACAAAGACACAGGACCAGAAAACATGATTGGTTCAACAGAAAGTGTGAGAGGGCCAGAGAGGAAAAGACAAGAACATGGGTTCAGTATCGGAAGAAGCCTAACCCTACCTAAACATGAATAACTGTTCATGACTTTTGTGAGACCAAAATTGAAATATGGAGCAGTTGTATGGTGTCCACATCTCAAGAAGCACATAAACTGGAAAAGGTGCAAAGGCATGCTACAGGATGGCTTCCGGAAAAGAAAAACAAGAGTTATGAGGGGAGGTTATCTTGAGGTTATCTTGAGATGATTTCGGGGCTTTTTAGTGTCCCCGCGGCCCGGTCCTCGACCAGGCCTCCACCCCCAGGAAGCAGCCCGTGACAGCTGGCTAACACCCAGGTACCTATTTTACTGCTAGGTAACAGGGGCATAGGGTGAAAGAAACTCTGCCCATTGTTTCTCGCCGGCGCCTGGGATCGAACCCAGGACCACAGGATCACAAGTCCAGCGTGCTGTCCGCTCGGCCGACCGGCTCCCTATCGGGGAGGCTAAAGGCGTCAAATATGCCAAAAATAGAAGATTAAAAAAAAGAGGTTATGTGATCACCACTTACAAAATACTAACAGGAGTCGACCAAATTGACAGAGAGGAATTCCTGAAACCAGTAACTTCAATAACAAGAGGACACATATTGCAGCTAAGGAAACATAGGAACGAAAAAATATTAGAAAGTTTTCTTTTGCAAACAGAGTGGTAGACGGTTGGAACAGGCTAAGTGAGAAGGTGGTGGAGGCCAAAACACACACACACACACACATACACACACACACACACACACACACACACACACACACACACACACACACACACACACGCACACGTACACACACGCACACGCACACGCACTGCCTAGTGTTACACGCACTAGGGGACACAGGTGGAAACTAAGTGCCCAAATGAGCCACAGAGATATTAGAAAGAACTTTTTTTAGTGTCAGAGTGGTTGACAAATGGAATGCATTAGGAAGTAATGTGGTGGAGGCTGATTCCACACACAATTTCAAGTGTAGATATGATAGAGCCCAGTAGGCTCAGGAATCTGTACATCAGTTGATTAACGGTTGAGAGGCGAGACCAAAGAGCCAGAGCTCAACCCCCGCAAGCACAACTAGGTGAACACACACACACCAAACAGCTTCTCTGATATAATCTTGTGTTAACAAGAAGAATCATAATCAACGCCATCAAAAACAATCTGGCTGGCAATTATATGAGAAACAAAAATGATAATGGGATTTTTTATAATTATGTTTTCACCGCCTTCCCCCTAATCACGCATTCACCCGCCCTTGTTATGTCTGTTGCCAACAGTTTCGTAAACACTGGCGGAATTTTGAATCGCTTGATAATTGCAAATTAGGAAGAGCTCAATTACCATGTGACTGAATTCCAATCCATGGCTGATTGGGATGGATACTTTAGGCGTCATATAACGTGAAGAGAGAGAGAGAGAGAGAGAAGAGAGAGAGAGAGAGAGAGAGAGAGAGAGAGAGAGAGAGAGAGAAAATGAGAGAACATATAACCAGCATAAACAGCTTTAGCTGCCCACACGCTCTGACCTCCATGACGTCATCGTGGACGTGTTGGGACATGTAAGCCAGGCTTCGGGGGTAAACAAATGACGTCACTCACCACAAAAATAGATGCCAAGTGATATTTTTGCTCAGCTGTTAACAAAATTGCTCGGCAACCCCTCACCGATATAGGAAAATTAATAATGAGAGAGAGAGAGAGAGAGAGAGAGAGAGAGAGAGAGAGAGAGAGAGAGAGAGAGAGAGAGAGAGAGAGAGAGAGAGAGAGAGAGAGAGAGAGAGAGAGAGAGAGAGAGAGAGAGAGAGAGAGAGAGAGTGAAAGAGAGAGCGAGAGCAAATTCTCAAGCGAACATGGTCATTCATTGACTAACTCGCTATTTTCATGATCTGTATTCATGAGGGAGTACAGGTGTTCATGAGGTATTTGCATGTTCTTCATAGATATGTATGTTCTTGAGTTATATGTGGGCTGCTTCCTGGGGGTGGAGGCCTGGTCGAGGACCGGGCCGCGGGAACACTAAAGCCCCGATATCATCTCAAGATAACCTCTCAAGATAGCCTATGATATACGTGCGTTCATCAGGTAACTTATATGCACTTGGCGTAGCACAGTTTCCACATGTTGAGCCACATAGACACGACATACGTACCAACACATGTCA